GGGCCTTATAGTCAGCCGCAGGCGCCTTATAGTCAGCTGCAGGCGCCTTGTAGTCCTCAGCAGGGGCCTTATAGTCAGCCGCTGGGGCCTTTGTGGCATGTAGTCAGCCGCAGGGCCTTGTAGTCAGCCGCAGGCGCCTTGTAGTCAGCCGCAGGTGCCTTATAGTCAGCCGCAGGGGCCTTATATCAGCTGCAGGCGCCTTATGTCAGCCGCAGGGGCCTTATAGTCAGCCGCAGGCGCCTTATAGTCAGCCGCAGGGGCCTCGTGATACGCTGGCTTGGGCGTTGCATACCCATACCCCCGGAGGCCTTGTGGTATCCGTGGACGGGTAGATGGTCGGGTCTGGCTCGTAGCCTGGTTCGTGGTCGGCGTGGTGCACGCCCCCATAGGTCGAGACCGAGGGTGCGTGGGCGGAGTCGAGCTTGTAGTCGATCTGGTAGTGGGGGTCGTCCGCGTGGGCGTGGTCGTGGCCCTTGCTCAGCCACCCGTCATGGTACTGGCTGTAGTCGTAGGGGGGTACGAAGGTGACTGCGTCCGGGTAGGGGGTCGTGAACTTCGGCTTCCAGTTGGGGTCCATCGTGGTTGAGTACGAGGAGTCGTGGATCTTGTAGCCGTGCGAGTGGTCGGACTTGGGGGCTGCGTAGTCCGATTTGGGCGCCTCGTAGTCGGACTTAGGGGGCAGGTAATCCGACTTGGGTGGGGTGTAGTCGTATCCGCTGGCAGTTGGTGGCTTGTACGTGGGCTTTGGGGCGTGGTATCCTGGGTGGGGCAGTCCTTCGGGGGCCTTGTAGACATATCCGCTGGCAGGGGCCTCGTAATCCGACTTTGGAGGCAGGTAATCCGACTTAGGGGGTGTGTAGTCATATCCGCTGGCAGTTGGTGGCTTGTACGTGGGCTTCGGGGCGTGGTAGCCGGGGCTCGGTAGTCCAGCTGGGGCCTTGTACACATACCCACTAGGAGGAGCCTCGTAATCCGACTTTGGAGGCAGATAATCCGATTTAGGGGGTGTGTAGTCATAGCCAGCAGCAGGAGGCTTGTAAGCAGGTTCAGGAGGCGTATAATCATAGCCATGTGCGGGCGCCTTATAAGCCGTTGGTGGCTTGTACGTAGGTTTCGGGGCGTGGTAGCCGGGGCTAGGGAGTCCTTCGGGAGCCTTGTACACGTACCCACTAGCAGGAGCCTCGTAATCTGACTTTGGAGGCAGGTAATCCGACTTAGGGGGGGTGTAGTCATAGCCAGCAGCTGGTGGTTTGTAAGCAGGTTCAGGAGGCGTATAATCATAGCCATGTGCGGGCGCCTTATAAGCCGTTGGTGGCTTGTACGTAGGCTTTGGGGCATGGTAACCAGGGCTGGGGAGTCCTTCGGGAGCCTTGTACACATACCCACTAGATGGAGCTTTGTAAGCGGTTTCAGGGGGCGTGTAGTCGTACCCTGCGGAAGGGGCTTTGTAATCAGCGGCAGGGGCCTTATAGTCAGCTGCAGGTGCTTTGTAGTCAGCGGCTGGGGCTTTATAAGCGGTCTGGGGAGGCGTGTAGTCATAGCCATGTGCGGGCGCCTTATAAGCCGTTGGTGGCTTGTACGTAGGCTTCGGGGCGTGGTAGCCAGGGCTTGGTAGTCCAGCTGGGGCCTTGTACACGTACCCGCTAGAGGGGGCCTCGTAAGCGGTTTCAGGGGGCGTGTAGTCGTACCCTGCGGAAGGGGCTTTGTAATCAGCGGCAGGGGCCTTATAGTCAGCTGCAGGTGCTTTGTAGTCAGCGGCTGGGGCTTTATAAGCGGTCTGGGGAGGCGTGTAATCATAGCCATGTGCAGGCGCCTTATAAGCCGTTGGTGGCTTGTACGTAGGCTTCGGGGCGTGGTAGCCGGGGCTCGGCAGTCCAGCTGGGGCCTTGTACACATAACCGGTAGAAGGGGCCTTGTAATCAGCTGCAGGAGCCTTATAGTCAGCCGCAGGGGCCTTATAGTCAGCCGCAGGGGCCTTGTAGTCAGCCGCAGGAGCCTTATAGTCAGCCGCAGGAGCCTTATAGTCAGCCGGGGCCTATAGTCAGCCGTCACGGGGCCTTTAAGTCAGCCGCAGGGCCTTATAGTCAGCCGCAGGGGCCTTATTAGTCAGCCGCAGGGCCTTATAGTGGCGGCCTTATAGTCAGCCGTAGGGCCTTATAGTCAAGCTGCAGGCGCCTTGTAGTCAGCCGCAGGCGCCTTGTAGTCAGCAGCGGGCTCTGGCTCTGGTGCTGCGTACGCATCCTTGGGAGCAGCATGGGGCAGAACGGTTCCTCCGTACCCTAGCAGCGGAACAGAATACTGAGGCGTTGGGTAGCTATAAGGCGCTCCATACGCAGCCGTCGGGAACGGAACCCCTCCGTAGGGACTCGGTGTGCCGTATGCAGTGGGTACGGGGTACGACGGGTATCCAGGGGCCACGTAGGGAGCGGGGGAAGCGTAAGCTGCGTGGGGCGGGGCGTACGAGCCCTGGGCAGCGGGGAATGCTAGGTGCGGACAAGCG